GTTCTTCCCATGTGTTCATTATGTTCAAAACCTGTTTTTTATTTGTCACTGCAAAATGTATGAGATGCTGGGTGCGGGGAAAGGCGGAAAAGATTTCCTGTTGGTTTATTGGATGGCACTTAAAGGAAATGTTCCACATTTGAAGATGCTGAGTTAGGCAAAAGATATGATGGGAAATTCACACAGTTCAGAGAAGAGCGGGCACTTTACTTCGGACGAGATGCGTCAGGTCTCACCTTTTCAGACCTTACTGGTGACGATTCTCGCATGCTTGGCACCGGACAGCTGTTTTCATTTTTGAGAAGCGTAGGATTCACAGCCATTTATACACCACGGTAAACACTTAGCTGTTATGGGCGCAAAATGACCCTAGAAGTCGATGCACCCTACAACCCCAATCATCATCATCACCGAGTTAGGCATAAGATATTATGGGAAATGCTTCCTTGTAACTATTGGTAAGATTTCAAGGTCCAAAAACGACGCTAAGTAGCACAACTTTAAATTTATAAAATGGCCCCCAATACGTCATTGTTTGATGGCGTCATGGAATAGGTTTGTGACGACAGCAAAACCTGGCAGCATCTTACAGCAAGACCTAAAGAATGCCTCCAAACACACGAAAGCTGACACCAAACGGCCATTCTCGTCGCGGGGGCTGTGTATGGGGAGGGTTAGTGGGTGGTATATTTGTGGATTTTTTGTATTGGTGCTGGCCGTAAGAAAAGCTTGCGTGGACTGTTTGAAATGCGCGACGTAGCGGTCGCCAGCTTTTATGGCAGATTATTAATATCAAAGCACGATATGCTGTGCAGCTGCTGCTGCTGCTTTGCTGTTGATGATTTTGTCAACACTTTGTTGTCGACCCATCGTTGCGCGTAGTGCTCTAGTCCTGACATTGGTATCATGTGATGTGCACTGTAGTCACGGTCCTTATTGCTTGTAACTGGAAATGGGGTGTCGTGCCAAAATTAATAAATTTGTAACATTGCCTTTATTGTTTGTAGCTGGAAATGTGGTGTCGTGCGAAGATTAATAAATTTGTAACGTTGCCGTGCATTGATTGCCAAAGCATTGCAATTGCTATGGTAAAGATGGTAAGGTTGGGCGAACGATAATTTTTTTTTTGCTTAGGATTATTCATGTAACTAATAGTTAACCCTGATATGACCATCGTGGTGCAACCACATTCTTGCCGTAGACAGTCCCTTGGCATTGTCAAATAATTTTTTTACCAGTCATTCATAAATCATAAGCACCTGTCGCATAGGTTTGACATGAGTGCTCAACCAATGTGGTACATTGTGGAATGGCACTGGTCAATGGCTTTGTTGTGGCGCTATCTCAGTGCTGTACTGTGGCATGGCATAATGAACAACAGTATGGTTTTTCGACTGCAATTTATGCCGCTTTTATAATAAATCCCAGCATGAAAAGATGGTCCAAGCATGCGCTCTTGCATTGACTTCCAATCTGACATATGACTGACCAAAAACGCATGCTACAATATACAAATCACTTTCAGCAAAGCAGACAACCAATAAGTGGCATCACTTGATCAGCTTGCTTTGGATATCCAGAAAACACAGGTGAGAAAGATGCAAACACATCTTTCACTTCCATGGTCATGCAGCATGCGGCAGCCATCAGGCTTCTTTATTAAAAAAATAATAGGAAAATTTTACATGTGGTGAAATGACACTGCAAACATGCTGACCTTGCACAAGGCTGGAGACATGACAAGTGCATGTAGTTGTGGTACGATGGGCAAAATGCAAGGAAGTGATGAGGCTACCAGTGCACACAAGGCTCATGATAAACATATTAAGTGCTGTCCAAGACACGGACAGAAATATTTTTCTACCTTTCTCAGCACCCAGCATCCCACGCAAGTTGCAGTGACTATGACATTGATTACTCAGAAGCAATGCTCGCCTGCATACAAGATTTGTGAGCACAGTACAATGTGCATCAGTAATAATAAAGCTCTATATTTTCAGAATTATTTAAGGGAAGACAATTCTGCAAAGCCATATGATGTGAGCCTATACTGAGCATGTCCATGAATGAGCTGCAACACCAGCCCCTACTGCCGAAATGATTTGCTGATATGACATGTAACGGATTAATCACTTGCTGTAATACATCAATAGGTTCACAATGTTGGCAAGTGGCAAAATCATACTGAAGTACCAGTACCAGTACTTGCCTTTGTACACCCCTGCAATGTCAGCGCTAGTGTTTCTCTCAATTTGCCGGCATTCCTTTGTATTCAAACACAAACATAAAGGTACAGGCAGGCATCAATATCAATAGGCATCAACATATCAGGCATCAATATATGCGGGTGCGGAGCGGTGCGGGTGTTCGAACGGTCAAAGAGTGGCAGCGCTAGTTGCATCCCACTGCTTATGAAGGCCCGCCGACAGTGGCCTTGGTACCGGTCGTCACGCGCGGTCTGACGCTCAACAGCGGCTGATGACGATACTGCATGGTCCGACAGCTCCGGCCGGCGGCCCTGCATGGTATGACATGACACACTGGTGTGAGGTCACAACCACAACTCCTGCGAGTTGTGGTTCAATACACACACTCACGGCCGCACCAGCCACGGCCGCCACACCAGCCACGGCCGCCGGCCTCCCTGCCACACCAGCCACGGCCGCCGGTCTCCCTGCCACACCAGCCACGGCCGCCGGCCTCCCTGCCACACCAGCCACGGCCGCCGGCCGTTCGGGTTCGGGGGAGTTCGGGGTCCCGTCTCCGTCCATGTTCAGCAAATGTTTCTCTGGATGATTCAAGGCCCCTTGTTGACACAAAGTGTTCTGTTAGGCACGGTGGGTACCTAACCGACACAGAAGCCCTATATTGTTGCAGGGTCCCGACCAATGAAAATCGCAGGCCCGGCTTTGTCCCTTGTTGGCAAATGGGTCTCCAGAGCTCAGACTGATACGGAGCCGACTGTTTGATGTTGGTGATCTCTGGCCGAACTAGTGGAGTGAATTGTTTCAGGGGTCCCTAATCAGTGTAAGAGACCCTCTGACCGATATTTTAGGTCACGATCCTATGGGCCGGGATCCTTTATGTGACCGGCAACCAGCCCCTAATGCCCCCCAATCTGGCTCTTGATCGTCGGTTTCCGTGGGCCACCGGGCCCAGGTGGGCTTTCTGGGTCCTCGGGTCCAGGCGGGTTTCGGTGGGCTTCATCCCTCATTGCTCACTGCCCTTGGTCAACTCGGGACCCCCTGTCAGGCACTATGGCCACGTTACAGACGCTGGGGTCCCGAACAATGTAAATTGCTGACCCTGGCTTTGTTC